AGTTAAATACATTAAATTTTAGTTCAGAAAAAAGTATTTTGGCCAAAATCATACAAGAGCTTTAGTCCTTACAATTTTTCGTCATTCGGCCAAAAATGGATTTTGTTCAAGGAAATTTCAGTATAGGTACTCCTGAATATTGCTTGAAGATCATTGGCAAAATTTGATATCTTTGATTATAACTTGTTCAAATGGCTTTTTAGAAAATCATTCCAAATATGATTTTTAGAATATTTTAATTACTTTGCAATGCTAATTACTCGCCACTTATGGAACCGAGGTCCATTTCTTGGTGCTTGTATTATTCTGGATGTGCTTAAATAGTTAGGCACATTAAATTTTTAGTTCAGAGAGAAAACGTATTTTGGCCAAAAATCCTTTGGAGCTTTAGACTTTACAATTTTTGCCATTTTCGGCCAAAAAATGGATTTTGTTCAAAATTTCAGTATAGTGCTCCTAGATAGTAACAGCAGGATCTGTTAACTTAAAATTTGATATCTTGATTATAACTTATTTCAAATGGCTTTTAGAAAATATTGAAATGATTTTTAGAATATTTTAAATTACTTGCCATGCTAATTACTCGCTTCTTATGGGTTTTCGAGGTCATTTCTTGGTGCTTGTGTATTGTTCTGAGATTATTGCTTAAATAGTTAGGCACATTAGAATTTTAGTTCAGAGAGAGAAAAAGTATTTTGGCCAAAAGTGTGCAGGCTTTAGTCTTACAATTTCGTCATTTCGGCCAAAAAATGGTTTTGTTCCAAGAAATTTCGAGTATAAATTACTCCTGAATGTGCTGTGAGATCTGTTAAGCCAAAATTGATATCTTGATTATAACTTGTTCAAATGGCTTTTAGAAAATGTTCAAATGATTTTAGAATATTTTAATTACTTTTGCAATGTAATTACTCGCCATATGGGTTTTCAGGTCATTTCTTGGTGCTTGTGTATTATTCTGGATGTACTTAAATAGTTGTTTATTAAATTTTGCTTTAGTTCAGAGAGAAAAATATTTTTGGCCAAAAATCTTTAAAGACTTAGACTTACAATTTTGTCATTTCAATAAAATGGATTTTGTTCAAAATTTCGAGCAAATTACTCCTGAATGTGCTGTAAGGATCTATTAACCAAAATTTGATATCTTGATTATAACTTGTTCAAATGGCTTTTGAAAATAAACAAATAGTTTTGAGAATATTTTGAGAGTACTTTTGCAATGCTAATTACTCGCCACTTATGGGTTTTCGAAGTTGTTTGATGCTTGTGTATTATTCTGGATGTGCTTAAATAGTTGAGGACATTAAATTTTAGTTCAGAGAAAAAAGTATTTTAATGAAATCATGAGCTTTAGACACCACAGGTATATCATTTAAAGCCCAAAAAAATAGGATTTTGTTCAAAATTTTCAGTATAGGTACTCTAGATAATGCTCAGCAGGATCTCTATATTCCTTTAGGTTGATATCTTGATTATAACATTCCATTCTTTTTGAAAAATGTTCCGTGATTTTTAAAATATTTGTGAGTAACTTTTTGCTGCCATGCTAATTCTCGCTACTTACGGGTTTCGAGGTCATTTCATATTTATTCTGGATGTACTTAAATAGTTAAGCTGTAAATTACCTTCAGAAGCGTCATTTTTGGCCAAAATCTGAGCTTTAGTCTTTACAATTTTGTCAATTTCGTAAAAAAGTATGATTTTTGTTCCAAAATTTCAGTATGGAGCGGAGAAACGTATTTTTGGCCAAAAATACTTTTTACAGAATGGAAATTTAAGGGTTTAACTAATTATGTACTTACAGAATAACACACAAACCCTAAATCACCTTGGAAACCCATAGTTGATGAGTAATGAGCCTTGAAAAATGTCAGTAAAATATTTCAAGGGTCATTTTGGGAACTTATTACTCTGCAATCGATACGTGGACCACATGTCAAAATCAGAAGCTCAGGAGTACCCATACTGTGATTTTCAGCAAAATCTAATTTTGGCTCAAACACCAAAAGGTAAGTCTAATGCCTACAAAATTTTGGCCAAAATATACTTTTTTATCAGAATGGAAATTTAAGGGGTTTAACTAATTATGTACTTACAGAATAACACACAAACCCTAAATCACACCTTGGAAACCCATAGTTGATGAGTAATGAGCCTTGAAAAATGTCAGTAAAATATTTCAAGGGTCATTTTGGGAACTTATTACTCTGCAATCGATACGTGGACCACATAGTCATAATCAGTAAGCTCAGGAGTACCCATACTGTGATTTTCAGCAAAATCTAATTTTTGGCCCAAAACCACCAAAAAGGTAAGTCTAATGCCTAACAAAATTTTTGGCCAAAATATACTTTTTTCTCAGAATTGAAATTTAAGGGGTTTAACTAATTAAGTACTTTCAGAATAACACACAAACCCTAAATCACACCTTGGAAACCCATAGTTGATGAGTAATTAGCATTGAGAAATGTCAGTAAAATCTTTCAAGGGTCATTTTGGCCACTAATTACTCTGCAATCGAATCCTGGACCATATACTCATAATCAGCAAATTCAGGAGTACCCATACTGTGATTTTCAGCAAAATCTAATTTTTTGGCCCAAAACCACTAAAAAGGTAAGTCTAATGCCTTACAAAATTTTTGGCTAAAATATACTTTTTTCTCAGAATTGAAATTTAAGGGGTTTAACTAATTAAGTACTTTTAAAGTAACACACAAACCCTAAATCACACATTAGAAACCGAAGAAAAGAAGTACAGTACGAGAATAATTTACCAGTCCCCAAGAACATCACGAGACCCCAGGGGCAGAACCCCACGAGACCAAGCTCACCCCCTCTGACTTCTTTCACATCTACGAAAACCTAGAGCACAATGACGACGAAGAACAGGACCCAAACACTACCGAATGGACAGTCCAAGAGAGCAAGAAGAGGAGGAAAAGACCAAAATGAACTTCAAGCTAACAAGAATACCAAGATAGAAGACCAAGACCAAGATAGGTAACAAGAATACCAAGATAGAAGACCAAGATATTTCTTTGCCCAACCCAACACGCACCTGACGTTTGACCTGACGCTCACCCGATTCATTGTCTGGCCACTCCCTCCAGACAGGTTGCTGCTGCCTCCAACTTAAAACCCAAAGTAACGCAAGCGGTGTTTAGCCACTGCACCCTTCAATCCTCCCATTATCCTTCCCCTGAACCTCTTTCCCCCCAGTTCAGACATGCCCACCTCTACACATGGGAAAGCATATCATAACTCATAATATTATTCCATCTTACAGCCCTAAACGTACAAACTCCCCGCACTCCTCTCTAAGACGGAGTATGGTCTTGTCTGGGAGGCATTGATTAGACTCTGACTCGCGGATGCTGCCACGGTCTGCCTCCCAACATATCTAATATATGTTTATAAATTATTTGAGTTGTTTGGGCTCTTCAGGGGCTCAGGAACCGAATATATTTTCCCCCATAATTTATTAACATTTATATACGATTGATCACTTATCGATGGATTTTTCAGGTCCCTAACCCCACCATATAACTGTTATTGAATAGAGATGATGGACAGGGGTTTTATTCAGGCAAGAGGAATAGAGGAGTTATCCACCTGAGCCAGCCATAGTTACCCAATATGACGACGATCAATGGTTACATTAAATATGGATAATTGCCTAACAGCAGTATCTTTTTTTTAAACAATATTGTATATTAATGAAAAGTTTCTTAGCAACCTAACCAAACGTAAACTAACCTTGCCTAGCCTAATCTCTCCAACCTACCTTAACTTACCCCAACCTACCTCCAACTAACCGAACTTAACCTATGTAAAGGCCTGGGAATTAGGGATAGAAATCTCTTACCAGACCAATCAGGTTCTTAATAAAGGAAAGTCAAGGACCATGGGTTTCTGAGGAATAACAAACAACCGTTTGAGATTGACATCTCATTACTATAAAAAATATAACACAAAACTCTGACACCACTCAACAACATGAAATAATTACGGAAGTCAAACAATTAATGCAGTCAATAGTTAATGAAGTTAAACAATTAAGGGAAGCAAACAATTAAAGGAATCAAACAATTAATGGGAATCAGCAATTAATGGAATCAAACAATTAATGGGAGTCAACAATTGATAGAATCGAACAATAAAGGGGAGTCAGCAATTAATGGGATCAAACAACCATAGAATCAAACAATGAAGAGATATTTCCTACGGTAGTGGCCCTGGGGGAAGGTTCTGGAACACGGTGATGCACACTCAGGGTAGAGAAGCGTCTATTCAACTCCACACTCAAGCGACAGCGGCCGATTGTCTTGAAATGGCAGGAGAACACCGGGGCACAGACGGAATGAGATGTACTGACGGCCGTGGTAGTGGTAGATGACCAGAGAATTGACAGTCGATAAGTGAAGGTCTGGGACACAGCCCACGAGTCCAGGACCTATGATGAGATCAGAGCCAGAATTTGACGAACAGCGGGGTAGCGAGATAGTGACTGTATGGCGGCTGGGGTGAATCTGCTCTTGACACAGGTAGCAGCTGCCGTTCTCACCTCTGTCCAACCGCCCAGGTGTTGTCCGCACCAGCAAACGAGCGAGTAAGCAGCGGTAACGAGCAGGACGATAGTTTCCGCCCTTACAACGTAACCTAACCTTCTTTTGAAGAACATTTTTTGAAGAGCACTTTTATGAACATTTTCTGAAGAACATTTTTGAAATTTTTTTTATTTCTTTTTCAGAATAACATTTTTAATATTACTTTTAAGAAAGAAAATTAAGTTATTTATTAAGAAAAATTAATGAAAAACATTTTTGAAGACATTTCTTATAAAAAAACCTATTTGTTTTCAAATATTAAAAAAAATGAAAAATATTTTCTTCAAAAATTTGAAATGTTTACTCAACCATTTTTAAATTTTCATAAGTTTCAAATACTCAATTTGAAAATTCCACTAACTTTTAACTACCTATAAGGAACAGAGAGAAACTCTTTATCATAATATTGGTTTATTGAGAACAAGGCACACGACATTAGGCACATGAGTCTGTTAATATAATACTTGGGCACTTCTGACACAACCTGCAGACACGTCGCAGTGAACCACTACATGCCAGCATCCATGGTTCACATGCTGACTTGGTACACAGCTGGACCATAACACTCATGATAATTGTCAAAAAGTTCAATTATTATTATTATTTTCTAGATAAAACAGTCAACCAGTGACTGTGTGGACCAACCTCCCCTCCCCTCCACTGACGTGAGGATGTAAGATTTAAAATTATCGCTCAAATATGGATAGTTGGATCGGTAAGTTAAACTAAATGACCGCAGAGGGGATAGAAAGTATTAGATGAAACTTTGCATAGCAGAGCGGCCGAGATAAGTGTGTAGGAGTTGGGTGTGGTGGTGGTCGAGTACTAAGCACACGGCCAAGAAGACGTCTATCAGTCGATCAGGAAACGAAACACACAATCAGCGACCAACCATACGATGACTACAGGGGTTGAAAACTACCAGGTTCATCCAATACACAAGAGAAGAAGGACTTGAAGACCCAGAGACAGATCAAAGTAAATATGAACTACAGGACCCAGAGACTGACAAGGGGAAACCGTACCTGTCCTACAGGACTTTCAGAATATTCACAGAGACCAACCCACTTACGAGATAACTTCGTGGTCTCAGAGAAAGGGTCAAGGTATATAGCAACTACCAAGACCTGAAAATCAAACGAGACAAACAATAACAACCACATTCAGGAGACCACAGAAGATGGAGCCCGAAACTATCCACAATGTTTCATATTTATTTTGCATTTTACAAGATTGGAAAAGGTCTCATTTTTTCACCACACTTGGTCCGGCAGAACCACGCTTGCACTGCCTTCGTCCTGTCGCCCTTGGTATATCGACAGCCTCTCAAAGCTACTTTCAGAGGTCGTAATAGGCTTTCCACTGCATTTTGTCCGAATTGACTGTTTCGCAGAAAGCTGCTAAACTTTTCACTTTGTTGGTTCAAGGGAATCCCAGAATATTGTAGGTATTCGTATAATTTTACCAGCTAATGTCTAAGTACTGAAATTCTTTTAAGGACACGTCATGTCCAAACAGCTGTACTTTATTTGGGAACCCATTTTGTACAAACGTAGTGGATTTAGGGCCTGTTGAGTGTTGCATATGCAGAAACACGGCTACTCCAATGTGTCTTCGACTTGATCGATCATTCCTCTCCTGTCGTCGAGAACTATCGCACACATTTGTTCGGTTTTAATATCAGTGGTTGATGTGGACTGCTTTTCTGAACGATCTGAGTCGATAAAAGGATGTTTTATTTTATTTTTTTAACATTTCAATCCACTCGTACGTGGTCCGCTTTGGCAAACCTAATTACCATACTTCATGGATAATTTTATTTGTATCTCAGCCCCGAACAGAACCAAGCCAGGGTACTACACCTTGGAATGATTCATCTTTGGTGATGAATATTGACACCTGTCCCGGATTATATCTATAATTTGTTTGTCATAATTCTTCCTCTGTTAATTTCTTTGTTATCATATAACAACAAAGCACGTTGTAACAGTACCATAAATCATTATAATTTGATCATAATTTGATTGTAATTATAGTACTATAAATAACTTATGATGTGCAAGGAGAGATTTCTCCTCCGTAAAAACTCGTCGAGTCATAGTCACCACCATAATCTTTTAAACATTACTCTCGATGGTGATTGGTTGTCATAATGATGTAACTGAAACGTGATTGGCTGGGATTTCAGTGTTCGAATCCTTGCTCGTAATAGAAAACAATGTAACAAATTACCCTATCCAGGGTTCAAGCCGATGTTCTGAATATGGGTAATCCGCTACAGGAACTCTCTGATCAAGGAATTCCGATTTGCACGCCTGAGCCAAGCTCAAATCCCAGGCTCAAACCACCGTTCCGAATTCGGGCCTAAAACTGTCTTGTTGGGAAACTATCAACTCTCAGAACCTCTATGGATCGGCAACTGGTATAAGAAAGATATGCCTAAAAACAATGGTCTGTAACTATCCAGATTCCAGACAAGGAGATACCTATGGTCTTTTTAGATTAGTTCCAAGAGTTATGAAGACCAGCTGAAACATCATTACTCGACATATCTACAGAGTATAACGTTAGCCCGGTGCCCCTCACTGTTAGTTTATATACAACTATTAACTTGTGAAAGGTTCATTAGACTCTACAGTAAGAGTACATTAGACTCTATTACTACATTACGAGGAATTTCTCGGTTATGGACAGACTCAGGTAACACGTTGCATTCTCCAACATATTTTGAAAGATAACTGCTATACGTAAAACCACATTTTTTTAGTTAATTCCCAAAGTTATATAAACTTTCCGGTTCTTTGCTAACCCGTGAAAAAGCAGAAAACACAAGAGGTAGTTTTTTAGCAGGTTTGATAATGTGATGGCTGGGTGTGATTCTTTTGGTTTACCTGCTTGATATGTAACTGTCAAGCTACAAGACCACCAAAACTCCTCCTAATGTTGCACTTGCACAGTGCTATGGACGCATCAGATATCATGTAGTAAGTACAGGGGAAAATCATATAAAATATTGGCAGAACAAAATACTAATTTACATACCACCAAAACTGTAAAGTAGTAAGTGTTTGAACGACTGGCAGTCATAAGGAGTTGCGGGTTTAGCTAACGGTTCCCTGTAGTCTTCACAGAACATAAACTGCACTGAAGACAACGCCACAAGACTCATCTATAGACCCAAACAGAATCTATCATAGCACTAATTATTATGTTTGGGGAAGGCACGCCAGGGTGAGGAGAGGTCAGGTCTATTGTGGCACTTCACACAATTATTGCAGGGTGGGTTAGATAGTAGATTTTCGTATAAATATAGCATTAGGGTCTCCAGCTTTGAACACATTATTCACATAGTATTAACAAGAAATAACAATCTTATTATTGGACATTTGTTGCACACATTATAATAATATAAAGAGTTTATATACAACACCGTATATTGTACCATAAAACAGTGAAAAATATGCGGAATATAGATTTGTTCATAAATTATATAAAACTATTTAAATATCAACTCTTACAATTAACAGTCTTAAATGAGAAGAAATAATATATATATATATATATATATATATCCGAGGTATGAGTACCATGACGTAAAGAAACTTTGTCATAAGACTGACCAGGAAACATCATGCATACCAGAACATAAACATCTTAACCTAGTTTTATGAATAAAATAACTGATTTTGTGACCCTTTTACTGTAGGTTGCCACCAAAACACAAATGCTCATAACTCTGAAGAACTTCCAATCTGAGCCAATAATTTCATATTCCAATCAGGAGTAAAGTTTGTTTCCCCCGTAAACTCCTACTTTTAAATTGTCTGTGGCCGAGATAAATTCCCCAACGGGTCACAAAAACTGGGTTAGAGGAGTTTGTCCCAGTTAAAATCATCGGTGATTTCCTCGTCGTCAGAGTGCGGACCTGAACCAGTGATGAGACCTACCTGTATGGCCTCCATATCCTCGGCCAGACCACACACCAGCGCCCCGTCTAGCCCATCATCTTCAGCTGTAGCATTGGTGTAAAGCACATTACGACTTTGTCCTGGGGGTGTCAATGGAGCCAGGAGGCAAGTCAGGGGCTCGGACAGCTGCTGAGGACTAGAGACTTGGCGTTCACGTCTCATGATGGTGACGGTGCCCCCAGACCCGTGGCTAGCAGCACTCACTGTCTCACTGAGGGCACCCAGAGAGGTGCTGTTCTCTCCCACGTCACTATGTCCACTTAAGCTGAAACTACCATCCAGGGGCAGCTCTCCGGGACTACTGACTTGCTGGGGAGATCTCAATACATCGTCGGGTGGGACAGCATTCGACACAAGTAAAGGGTCTGCCACTAATGTCTCAAGTGTCTCTCCTGATGCACTTTGTAGGGGGATGGGTCCAGTGTCAACTGGTGTATTTCGAGTAGACACGATTGTAAACGTGGGCGTGACTGTGGGCATGGGCACAGACATGGGTATTGTCCCAGAAACAAAACCCATACCTCCTACTGCACTCTGATTTACCACAGACGAAGATGTAAATAGATCAGTGTATTCCCTGAGTAACTCCGGCGTGAGGTTATTGAGGAGATGCAGATCACAGTCCTTCATGGTGATACCGTCTACACCAGCAGGTTCTCCCTCGCCTATCCCACCCATACCCACGCTCATGCCCATACCCATAGGGATATTTGCTCCTGATCGACCATCCACTGCGAACCCTGCAAAGATACATATTCAGCTAGAATAACTGGGCGTCTGGCTTTTCAAGTAACACTAAGCTCATCCACACCCTTCCTTCAGAATTTTACTCCTATCTGAACATACAGTAGTATTAATAGGTCTCATTACATTCGTGTGTGTGTGTGTGTGTGTGTGTGTGTGTGTGTGTGTGTGCGCCTGCATCAAATTGCCTAGTTCTTTACCTAACCTAAAGCAACTTAACCCAACGAAACCAAACTTAACTTACCTAACCAAAGTTAGGTCAGGTTAGATTGGGTTAGATCGGGGCATTTTGTCAAGTTCATGAAATAGCTCCTAACGTAACCTAGGCAAGGGTTTTATTTTTAGTTTTTGTTGTTACAGCTGAATAGAAATAAATTTGTTTACGGTAAAATTTGCTCTATTTCATTTAAGACGTCATTTAACATCATAATACAGTACACTATAGCCAAATTATACCTAAAGTAGGTTAAGTTAGATTAAGCTAGGTTAGGTTGTCTATGAAACTATTCATTTTTATGTATTATAATTATCTCTACATGGTCTTCTATGGTCAGTCATACATTCAAAAGTAAGAGATATAGAAGTAAACATTACTATTAATTTATTAATATATATATATATATATATATATATATATATATATATATATATATATATATATATATATATATATATATATATATATATATATATATATATATATATATTTATTTATTTATTTTATTTTTTTTCCTGGTTAGGTTTCGCTTCGTCAGGTTTTTCCTTGTATTTTTAACCCATAATTTCCATCTACTTCAAAGCCTTGCCCACTTTGTGCAACCATTATTGTTAGTAATTGGGGGCATATCACAATATCACAAAAACTGTTCATGTGCGACGGAAATGAAGGTCAGAATCTCTTGAAACACCACAAAATACAGCAGAAAATCTATTTTTATTAGTAGTTTCCGCGGTCGTCCTTTTCCGAACCTTTACCAAGATTAACATAATTTCAATTTAGGTGAAAGGGTAAGGAAACAAAATGTACAAAGCTCAGCAATAACGAAGTTAACTATTGCGCAACACTAGATGAAACTGCTGTCGATTGTGGTAGTTATTATCCCCAGCAAGCATTACCACAGAGTGTTATTTAGGAACTCACGAAAGAAAACAGGAAATGCAAAATTGACACACCAGAACTTTTACCATAGACAGTACGGGAATCGTTGCTAAAGGGTTGTAAACCTACTTCTTAAAGTCGTCCCTTAAAACCTCCTGCTCAAAGACTCTCTGGTAGGGTTCATAACACAACCTCCCACCCAAAATCCCTCTCCTTAAGGTTTCGTCCTCCCCCTTCCTCAGTATCACACCTCGCCCATGCCACTCCAACACATCGAGGGGAGCAACTCACCCTCGGGGATGGTGTTCCAGAACGACTGAGATTGGGTCCAGGGGTCGATGGTGGTCTGGTTACTCCAGGGGTTGATGACGGAGCTGCTAGTTCTTAGGGGGACGTCTGGCGATAGAGCTGCAGCTTTCATCGCCGCCGCCGTAGATGTATTCACACTGTTCTTATTGACCGTCGTGGTGTACGAGTCGTTTCTGACGTTGTTGCTCATCGTCAGATACGGGTTGAACTATAGAGGAAGAACTTTATATTAACCTCAACTGCAAGAAAAATGGTGGCATTTCTGTTCTTGTAACATGAATTAACTCTGAATTATAAGCATCTAGCTCATGAAAATAAGTTTGGAACACTACTCATATACAGTACATATAAACACACACACACACACACTGCTATTCTTTCTTATTAAACCGGTACTTCCCCTTTTTTTCTTTCTCTCTTCCTTCTTTCCCTCACATGTCTCTCTTTTTCACTAATCTTCCTCTCTTCTCTTCCTGCATCCCTTATACTCACTCTGGGGCAGGGCTGCTTCTTCCTCTTAGAAAGAGGGTCATCGGTGTGAGAGGTGTCGATGGCCCAATAGGAGCCCTTACCCGGGTCATCCTTGGTGCGCGGCACCTTCTTGAAACATTTGTTTAATGACAGGTTATGGCGCACTGAGTTCTGTAAGGAGGAACAGTGGTGTTACTTTTACTGTTCAGTCTTAAAAACAGGAATTATGAAGACAGGTGAGACGTAGGTGGATAGAAAAATGAGGCAGGTTTTTCTATCGTTCAGAGTCATGGCTATATGTGAAAATTAGACATTTAGAAAATTTTCTACTGTAGTTTATCATGAAATAGTTGTGTTATGTGCTTAACAACATGTTGCGGTCACTGTTTTGCGCCAGTGACAGCACCCCCTATTCCACACAGCTGTGAATGGAGAAATGAAGACGGCATTGCTAGCCACACTGCATCCCTGCTTACCTAAAGTTATTGATATTGAAACAGTTTATTTAGCCAGAAAAATGCAGATACACAGTGGATAATAATAACAGTATTAACATGGCTGAGCCAGTTGAGAGCCTGAGCTCTCTTAGTGGCACCTGATAATTATATACTGTTCATTTATCTCGAGGAAGTATTGTGTTGCAACAATTAGAATCATCTGGAATAGTACACGTAACATGATGTTAGTAAGAACATATCAGAATGTTACCACGGTTATCACTTCGTTATTTATTTATTTTATTTATTTTATCTTATTTATTTTTCACGTTTATATTATAATTATATACATATTTTATAGTAGGGTTGATGAACATTAATATGATAAGTGAGGGAAGCAATACAACTTGGGTTGTATTAAAGTGAAACAAGAGGACAGAAAATGTCAGTATCCTGTCTTGACAGCAAATAAATAATTATTGCAATGGTAATTTCTATCTTTCTACATGACATTATATGATATAATGGTTTTGGTGGTACAATAAAAGTAAGAGAATAAGGTGTTACAAAAATATTAATACTTAGACAATAGATATTTTTTAAGAGATGATTTAAAGGAAAGGAACGTATTCTTTGCTGGGATGGGTGGGGGTAAGTTGTTCCACACCACACCATGATATTTTATGAAAGTTTGGGACTGATAGGAGCTCATGGGGGGTGGTCTTAGTAGCTCTGGGTGTCTTAAGTCGTATCTCTGATTATTCCGGAACTGGAAATAATAATTATAAATCAAGTGATTGACATAGGAATAAGCCCCTAACGCCGTAATGTTTATGCTTTGCCAGGGGGATGGTATGGTCGACAGTATCAAAGGCTTTAGAGAGGTCCGAGAATGTACCGACTGTGAAGTGACTGTCATCAAAGGAGTTTAAGATGTCATTAGTAAGGGATAGCAGAGCACTCTCAGTCGACCTTCTAGCTCTAAATCCAAACTGGGAGTCTGTAAGGCTGTTATTGACACTGCAAAAGGAATTTAGTCAACTACATGCTAGCTTCTCCAGTATCTTACTTAAGGCTGGGAGGGCTAATATGGGCGGTAATTCTTGAAGAGACCTTTGTCCCCAGATTTTTTTATATGCTGGGCGAACTTTAGCAATTTTCAGTTTATGTAGCAAGACGCCCCTAGTGAAGGAGGAGTTACAAATGTGTAGGAGAACAGGTAGTAATAAGTGGGCTACTTTCTTAATGATGCTCATTGGTATATTGTCGTCGCCTGCTGCTGCATCTTTGGACATTTTTATGATGGTCAATAATCCATCTGTCGTGACAAGGGCAGATGGATTTTCTAGAAGTCAGACTGGGTACTCCTGGAATGACCCTGGGGCTCGCCTCACACACACGTCCCGTTTCTACAGTGTTCTGTATCAGCACTGTCCTTATAGGGCTCTTCTTTGAAACATTTCTGATGATGAAGGCTTGCCATTAACAATATTTTATCTTAGATTTGTCTTGAAGACCTATTTACTGATGTGCAAACATGTACATTTTACTCGTGCGGGTGAAGCGGATAGAGGTGAACGAGTAGCGTGGGTAAGATAAACGGGAGATATGAGTGAGGCTGGTGAGAGGCGTGGAAAAGGAGAATGTAAGGCGTGCGTGAGATGGATGAGGTGGGGATGGGGCAAATGAGATGTGTGGATGAAGCAGGTGTGAGGTGTGGGTGAGGTGGAGTAGTGCGGGGAAGTGACTGATACTGACCTTCCACCCGGACGAGGCCTGGCGGTAGTAAGAGAAGTTGTCCATGATCCATTGGTAGATCTCCGCCAGGGTCATCTTCCGGCGGCTGCTGCTGTTGATCGCCAGTGTGATGAGGTTGGCGTAGCTGTGAAGGAGTAGAGAAGGGTCAGTGTGTCGCTGTCAAAGAGGAGAAAAGTGTGCAGAGTTTAAGGCTGTCAAGGAGGAGAGAAGTATCAGGGTGTAAGACTCGTGTTGATACCACTCAGTAGTACTGTATTCAAGAGTCATATGTTTATCACGCCGGTAAATGTCTTGTTACGTAATCATGGCACAAAGTTATCACATTCTCCAGGATGTCACTGAGGTTGAAGGAGTGACGTCATACGCTTGGGGTTCTCACAGGGTTAAAAAGAGTGACGTCATCAAAACCTTCGTAAAAGGAGTGACGTCACAGTATTTGGGGTTGTTACTGAGGTTAAAGAAGTAACGTCATCAAATTGAGGAGGAAATTCAGTGTAGTCAAGTATTTATCATGCCACGCTCACTCAAGAAAGCAATTTTGACTTTAGCCACACAATCGCCACACTTGTTAAGAAGGCATTCACTTCGTAACTCAGCCAAGTAGTTGACAGAACTAGAAGGATCCAGCTATGTGATGGAGAGGATAAGAACCCTCTTATGACACGTGGAAGTCACCCCCCCCCCCTCCAACACACACACACACACATAGAGGCATGAGAGGAATGGCTGAGTGAGGAGGGTGAACGACCTCGTCACCTCATCCACCGAAGATTATATCGTCACTCCTGCCCTACTCCCTAGGGCTTCCTACTTCACGTCAGTTAACCCCTTAAACCTACTCTAATTACTCCACACCTGTCCCTGTCCTACACCTGTCCTGCCACACACCTGTCCTTCCCCACACCTGTCCTTCCCCACACCTGTCCTTCCCCACACCTGTCCTTCCCACACCTGTCCTTTCCCACACCTGTCCTGCCCCACATCTGTTCTTCCCCACATTTGCTCTTCCTCGCACCTGTAAGGCTCTCCATATATATACGCATATCTTTTCCGACACTTGTCCTGCACACACACGCACGTACCCCCACACACACACCAATATTCAGTATGAGAACACTCTGTAGGCCTACATGAGACCAAGGGACCAAGTACTGGTAGTGGTTGTGAGTGAGGGGGTGGTAATGGCTGGCGGGTGGCGTGACCAACTATAGTAAAGTCGATTACCCTGAGTGACGTATGCTTCGACAGGTCCCAACTTGACTCGCTTCATATCTCTTCTCCAACTGTTTAAGTACATCACCAATAGCAATTACTTTCTTTGTATTGAAACATGACTTGTATTGCCCGTTTTAGTTGATAATAATAGCGATATTCATTTGTTATGTGGACAATATTATCCAGTTGTGATTTTGAACCACATAAAAATGGTAGCCAAGGATAGACAATATGTAGAGAATTTAGAGACATTATGACTAATAAGTAAAAGCTGATGGGAAAATGTGAATGGCTGAGTGTATGTTGTGGCAAATGTTAAGGAGCCAGGAGGATCCCATTAGGAACCAACGAATAGTCAGGTAAATAAATGGTCCATTTTATAACATTGAATAATAAAGGTAAGACATTTTACGTCGAAGACTCAAAAATACTGCTTAGGCTTCAGGACAAACTATGAAATAATCCTCGTAGCTGATGATGTCGTAATGCAGTTCACTGGTTGTGTATTTTATAGAACGAAAATATTGTCTCAAAATAAACACTAAATATACGGTGAGGCTCAACCTTAACTACACTGTTCATTTAACTCTAGTTAGTAGACGAGGTTAATGAAGGTCTTCTTCGGAAAACTGGGATTTTGATGTTATTCTTGGATGTTATTGTCGTTCTTTAGTTTAAATCAATCAGTGACGTGCAATCTTATAATGTACGAACCTTTGATTATTTGGAGCCTGAATGTTTACTAACTGTTGACGTTATAACAAGTGAGTAGAACTTAATTCAATTCTGAGGTAAGTAAGTTGTTCTTGTTTATGGAATGTTCATATTTCTTTTTATATTTTATGATGTAGGTATTCAACTGTACACTTATGTTCCAGATTTCTTCCAACACAAAGGCCACATTCTCTACAGTAGGTGGAGTATCTTAGTAAGTGTGTACGTTTTCGCAGTCCTAATGATTGGTACTGTCATTAGTGCGTACTTCTAATCACTTTGCCAATTTAATCGTCTTCATCATTTGTTACACTAATAAGAGCATTAATCGACGTGGAAAGATATGAGAAACGGTAAACAAAGGAACTCCGGAGCCAGGCGGGTTGTGTCAGCTGGTGCAGCGGTCAATGGTTATATCTCCGCTTCGCATACCGACTACTCTTGTCTATTGATTCAAAATAATTCAGTCTCTTCATTATGTCCCTAACTCGGTGACTTTTACGTAATTTAGCTTAAGTTATCTGTGTGCTTTATTACGTCCCTAGTTAATGAAGGAAATTCAATGCACTAATATTTCGAAGTTCTGGCCGTTGACTCAAATCACCCACACACTGAGACCGGAAGTGGATATATTCTGGCGTAAATTATCCTGAGACAGAGGATATGTGACGCTGCGGTGGGTATTATGATTTTCTCAGCTTAGGTAATACCTGTTACGAGACTCGCTGTCTTTCTAGGGAGAGGGAAACTGTCTTCCCTCCAGGATAAAATTTTAAAGTTTCGAATTAGATGTGATTGCAATATAATGTGAGATATGTTGTTAACTTGACTCACTCGTTCGGGCAATTTGCGTCAGACCTTTGTCCGTTTCGGTCTCAGTGTGAGCAAGCCCTGACACTGGGATTAATATGTATGGCGTGACAGCCCTGACATCTATGATTTGACACAGGATTATTATATTAAAGGGACTTAATGGCTGTGTGACCGTACCTGTAGGGTGGCTTGCTGTTGGTGGGAGGCGAAGGGGGCGTGGAGGAGTCTGCCTGCACCAGTTCGGGAGGGTCGGTGCCCCCCTCCAGCCACATCCCCCCGGTGAAGGTACCACGGGCGTTAAGGCGTGGCAACCAGTCCATCGCCGTCAGACTTTTGTTGAGCTCGGCCATGACGGACACTGTAGGGGTACATAAGAAACTCATTACACCTTACATACCTTATAAATGTGGCTCTACGGATACATATAAATAGATTACCAGTATCACACAATACATCTACAACTATAACATAATGATTAAAAAAAATAAAACCAACATTGCACAGCTGACAAGGGTTAATAAATCACTGTCCAAAAAAAATCGTATTTTTTTTGGGGGGGGGGGAGGGGGCAAAATAAACATTGCACACATTGAAGTGGTACAAACATTAATGTTAGTAGATCCAACAGGAGCATTTTTGTATCGCATGACTAATTAATGAATCAGGTTTTTATTCTCTCCTCGAAGTTCCCAATTTAAACTGTTTACATAAATCCTTCACATGACATGACGTTACCAGAAAAGTATGACATTATTTGAGGTCACTGCAGCAGTAAGGGCACAACTGACATTTTTTTTTAAATAGAGAAAAAGGGCGACTTTCGTGTAACACCCATCGGCACATGGGGAGCCTACCTTCCTTGCTGGTAGTAATTTTTTGGTCATACGACTGGTGTATGCCTTGCCTTCATAACGAAGCCATTTTGCGACATTAACCTTCCATGTGTGAGGCCTGCACGGACGTTTACCGCCCCTTGACGGCCCAGCCTCGGGTTCACTCGCCTCACTTTCACTCACAACAGGTACTGGGTCATCCATATACAACACACTTTGTGATACAGAAAACCTTGTTGAAATTTGCTGTGGTGGTAACTCGATTTCGGGCGTGATGGCGCTTGTGCTTGGGAAGAGCTTGGGAAGTAATAATCCTCGGTTTCCCCAAGATCGAAAGCAAATTAAAATTATAGCTGAAAGGTGGGTTTTGTGGCTGGGCACTAAAAATATTTGTGGGTTGGCCTGAGAGTTTGCTGATGCAAGCACGAAATCTACTGTAGAGTTGTTCTGTCTCCATATATATATATATATATATATATATATATATATATATATATATATATATATATATATATATATATATATATATATATATATATATATATATATATATATATATATATATATATATATATACATATATATATATACAGTATATACCATAAAGACAGTAATTGCATAATATAATATAACATAGACAAAAATTAATTTTTTAAATCACATGGTCGTATTCTCATAATCTAGGTAAACATTCTGTGATAAGATGTTTCGAGCTAATTCTTTTCATGTCTTAAGGGGATCATCGCGGGTGTTATCGCACTGGAGTTGTCGCAGTAGTCAACTAATATTTATACGACTCATCTCTAGTCTTTCATTCATGACTGTCCAGGTAGCCTATGCTAAACCAACTCTTCTCTACAATGTTGCAAGAGGTCCATACACAACGTTACTGGTCTCATCTTCAACAGTCATTGGGGTATAATTACAATCCTGGTTGTGACTACAACAGAAAGCCCCCAACGCCACACCCATTTGTTTCTCATTCTTAACTTCAGTGTTCTTCATATGTGAAGTACAATTTCAAAGTCATAAAGCATAAGAACAATGTTAAAACTGCAGGGCTTGTGTCAACACTTTTACTTCTTATAACATATGGAACACTCCTGAACTGCGACCATCTTCAAAAATAAAGTGTATAGATCTATATACTGTACTATGTTAGGGTAAATATCAGATGTCATTGGCAACCTGTGGTGTAATGCTCGCCTCACAAACGGGCAGACTCGGATTCGTTCCCCGAGCAGGGTGAAACTGTGGGCAAGTTTCGTTACGTCTTTTGCCTCTGTCTACTCAGCAGTAATTGGGAACCTGGATGTTAATCGATTTGCGGATCGTGTTCTGGGGTAATTGTTAGCCATTGCAGTTGGCGAGTTGTCCGGTCTTCTCGGACTATTCCTTGACACTGGGTCATGCAACTCGTTAACTTAGGGTGTGGTTGTTGTGTTGGCGACAGCTTCTACACTTTAAACAAATTCACGTCTAGGTGGCCCTAGGGCCGGCCATCCTCGTTACACGAGGGGCAACCAATATTATTATTGTTTGATGTCCTAACCGACTTACCACAACTTATATCAGCATTTGGTTTTGAGCTCATAACAATATTCACAAGAGAGAACTCTCTTACCGACCTTGTTGGACGCAGCCCACATCTGAGGAAGAGCTTCTTAACGTGAACACTCAGTGGAATAGATTCTAAGAGAGCAGCATCTTATACTCTAAGCACTGGCGATCATTAGGGAACAGCGTCTTAACCTGTACCTCTTGAGTCAGTACCTAAAGTGGAACAATTGTGTGGTGATGGTACGAGAGGTAGTGTTTCTTACCAAAAGTTTTAGACCCAAAAAATACAACTGATTGCATTACGTTTACTCTGCGCCGGATTGAGTCACTATGCATTGTAATCCATCCTCAATTTGAATATTACCCTTGAAAGAAAAAATGATGTCACTTTGCAAAACTTTTTTCTCCTAAATCAATGTACAGTACAGTGTGTTGGGAAGTCTTTAATCTTGTTTGTTTTTTACTGGCGCAACAAATGCACTTGATCGTGTGGTGGCGTGTGTGGAGGCGTACTGCCACCTGGGTCGCACCACTCACCTCTACTAACTAACTATTGAACCAATTTTCAACAATGTTCAAAGTTTATGATTTCGGTTTTCTACCCCCTTCTTTGTTACCACGTTGATTGTTTTCTAGTCATTAGTCTCCCATTTATTAATATATATATATATATATATATATATATATATATATATATATATATATATATATATATATACTGTATATATAAATATATACAATTTATTCATCTTCATTTACTGACAACTTCCGTTCTCATTTCCTATGTCATTATAAGAAATTCAACAAGATATTAGCAAGTGTGGGTATAGGCCCATGTGGCCGACCAGGAAGACGTCACTGTTAGCACAATCAGGAAAGGCACATTACTTCACCCACCGTGACTCTCCAAGGTGGAAAGTATACTGAATTATTGGTGATGGTGGAGGGTACAGGTGGGTGCCTGGCGGGTCGTGCCGGGAGACTGAGATGTGCAGCGGACGCCTCGTGTTGCCAAGCTGGTGCAGGCTGACTCACCACTACCATGAATAATTCCCTCACACAACGTTGTGGTATCCGGAAATGGGTGAGTCACCTCTGACCTCACCTGGCCTAGCTTAGTCCAGCTTCCGTCGCCCTGTTTACACAGTCTGGTCTAGCATGGGCCTGCTAGACCAATGCTGCTCTAGTTTAACCCCCGAAGTATTATGTTCCACGATGGGCCATAAGGAAACAGGCGTAACATAAGCTCCGCAGCTCATTATAGTGAGCTGTAAGGAGTTAATGAGGGAACGTCCGTGACCCGGTCACACCTCATCACTAATTCATAATGGAGGAGGCAGGTGGTGGCGGGGTTTAGGGGCCGGACACTCCCCGGCCCCTCGATCAATTATCACGAGCACTGTGTAGTGAACTGTTGGAGCCACGAGACGCCAAAAAGTTCCCCTACGACACAATAGGAGGTTCGCTATGACATCCACTGTGTAAATTACAGAAATGTGAATTTTCGTCCACCTCGAGCGGAGTTAGTCAAGGATGATGGTGGTGGGCGATCACGTCTACAGAGGAGAGGGTTGGGGGTTATGAAACATTTCCCTTTTTGTGGCTGACTTATCGACTGACCTTCATTCATGTGAGGGATGGGTGGAGCGCGGGGGGGGGGGTTGTTAACAAGGAATTCAGCTGGTAAGGTGTAAACGTTGATGGTGGAAGATCAGACATGTAGATACATTGAGATGACGAATTTTGTAAACAGTAGTGGAACGGAAGAAGAAAGACGAGCAATTTCTGTATATACTACACGACACTCACCTAGCGGATCAAAGAAACAGGGTGAACCATAAGGCAAAGGGATGGAAAGGGAGATAATGAATCAAATTATTTCTCATTTAGGTCATTATGAGAGACATCAGGGAGTCTTTTATTAAGAAATGTAACGTCTTTATTCCCCAGAAAGGTTACCTGCCACGCAAAAATGCCGGGTGAACGATCTGTCTTGTGAGGATACAATACTTGGAACGCGAGGTTCACAGTTCACAATCAAATATCCACTCGTGTCACTTACAACCGTGACCAATAAATCTAGTGAGGCACATCATACACAGACAACCAACCCCTAGCGGCCCCCTCCTCACGCCTCCCAGGATACGAGGCTATCTGACGTTATAACTTACGACAGGAATTTCAGATTGTTACAATTCCATTTTAAGTGGTATAATTAAAATTCAAAACATCCTAACTCTTTTATTACACCCCCCCCTCTGACCATTGGTTGGTTGCTCCACACATCACACCAATACACAAGATTACCCACAGGTGAAACGTGAAAAAATTGTACCTTCGCAACTGAGAAAGAAATGGCGGCAAGACTTTTTGTGTAGTATTTTAACTTTTAATTTGTTGAACGCACATGATTACCTTCTTTCTTAGTGCTCGCGTGACCAGCCAACCTCCTATGATAGGTGTTAGCTGGTCTTGGAGGTTAAAAATGATCGATACATTCACACAATTTATAACACATAAAATTATTGCAAAAAAATTCCCCGCGTATGTCCTTTTTTTATGGAAATCAATATGTTAAACATAAAGAAAAATAATTATATATAAAATTAATCAAAAGAAAATATATTTCCATAATGATTAGAAACATTAATTGCAACATTTACCATTTTTAACTAATTATCTGATTCAACATTTTCAAAACTATGGTTGATATTGTTTAAAGAAAACTATATATTTGTTTTTCTTAACTTGCGATAATATCTTTCTAGTTGGCTCTTTTCTTGAGTACTGTACTAACATAATAGCATATTAGATCAAATAACTAGGCAAAAAATATTGTAAACATACTGTATAAAATAAAGCGAGATATTCCTCGAGAGCAAATACCCCCGAGGGCGACCAGTCAAGGTAGGGGGGGAGGGTCTGGGGGAGAGGGAGGGGGGAGCAATAAGAGGCCATGAGAATT